CACTCGAGCGGGCTTTTGGTCGCTCGAGCGAAAGTGCAAAAATAAAGGTGGTCACTTGAGCGCAGAATTTGTCGCTTGAGCGTGAAACAAAATTCTAGAATTTTCAGAATTGCTTCCAAACTTCAAACTCAACCCCAAAGCTGTAAATTATGGTTTCTTGGGCCAAAAACTTAAGGAAACTCTTCTAAACTTGCAAAACATCATGAAGTAAGAATCATTACTCAAAATCAAGGCCCAATAACATGCAATTGTACAAAATCAAGCTTAAAATGTGAAAACATAACATGAACATGGCATGCATGAAATGATTTGAGCTCCAGGTTTCTAAATCATGATCAAATGAGATGTTTAGGTCTAAAACATGTTGAATTCCTTGAACAAAACCAAGATACTAACATGCATGTGAGAATTATCTTGAAAATAACTGCTCTTCTCTTATAGTTCATTAGCTTAATTCATATATTGATTCACTTAATTCTCTTAGTTCCTTATTTAAGTGAGTCTAACATAAAGCTTAAGGGTTTATTCCTTACCTAGGGTCCACAATTCCTTAAATTCTAGTGATCTCTTGCTCAATCTCACCAATTCCTTTCAATTCTCTTCAAAGTTGGCTCTAATCTCCCCCTTCTCTCTCTCATGATTGGTATCAACAAAATGATGAAGAAAGGTGAGTTGAGATGCATATAGAAGCCTTATATAGGCTTAGTTAGTAGACTAATTAATTAGGCTTACCACTATTCAAATGAGCATTAACTATTCTAATTATTTTGTTTCGAATCGAATTTCAATTGAACCTACCATAAAATTCTAAAAATTCTAATTAACACATAAATGAAGTCAATTTCTGAATCAGATGCCGATAAGGCCCTCAATTCGTAAATCGAAACGAAAACATGAACAGATCTTTCTACACTAAACAGATATAAACACAAATAAGGCAACATATGATACAAAACGTCACTTTAATTTCTTATTAGGCATAATTAAGTATGGATTAACATTAATCATGGGTCGAGGTTGTTACAGTCTTCACCCTTAAAAAGTTTGGTCATTCAAACTCGAATTACCTTCAGTTTAGAAGAATACCAGGTTCAAAGGGAACAATTCAGGGTATCTTTTCATCATATCCTCCTCTGTCTCCCAAGTTGCATTGGTCCCCCGATGGTTTTTCTAGTCAACTTTTACCAAGGGAATTTCTTTGTTCCTCAATCTTTTGATTCAACGGTTAATGATCTGTATTGGCCTCTCTCCGTATGTATAATCATCTTTCAGAAGCACATGAGTAGGTTCTATCACATGGAGCGGGTCTCATAAGTAATCTCGAAGCATTGAAACATGAAAAATGTTGTGCATATGCTCCATCACCGGAGGTAAGGCTACTCGGTATGTTATTGAATTGATTTTCTCTAAAATTTCATACGGGCCAATGTATCTTGGTGCTAGCTTTCCTTTTACCCCAAATCGTGTCTGGCCTTTCATCGAAGTTATTTTGATAAACACGTGATCTCCGACTTCATATTCTCTATCTCTTCTTCGGACATGAGCATAACTCTTTTGGTGACTTTGTGTAGTTTTCAATCTTTGTTAAATCAATTTTACATTTTCAGTCGTTTCTTGCGCCAGTTCCTGTCCCAACAAAGGTCTATCACCTACCTCGGCCCAACATATCAGAGATCGGCATTTTCTACCATACAAAGGTTCGTAAGGAGCCATATCGATAGTTGAATGGTAGTTGTTGTTATACACAAACTCGGCCAATGGTAAGTAGGTCTCTCAATTCCCCTGGAAGTCCAATACGCACATTCGTAGCATATCTTCCAAAGTATGATTTGTTCGTTCAGTTTGGTCGTCTGTCTGTGGATGATAAACGCTGCACAGTCTCAATTCGATTCCTAAAGCTTGTTGTAGACTTTGCCAAAATCTTGAAGTGAACTTCGAATCTCGGTTAGATACAATAGATACTGACACACCATCTAATCTCACAATCTCATTTATATAAATGTTAGCTAGCTTGTCCACATTATGAATGGTTTTAACAGGCAGAAAATGGGTAGATTTAGTCAAACAATCAACTATGACCCAAATAGAATCCATACCTCGAGAAGAGCAAGGCAGACCAATGATAAAGTCCATCGTGATGTGCTCTCATTTCCATTCTAGTATTGGGAGCGGCTAGAGTAATCCGGCGAGTCGTCGATGTTCAACTTTAACTTGTTGGCAATGCAGGCATTTAGTCACAAAATCTGCAATACACTTTTTCATTCCCGGCCACCAGAAATTTTGTTTCAAGTCATGATACATCTTTGTGTTTCCTGGATGCATAGCAAATTTTGAATTGTGAGCTTCAGTCATGATGCGTTTCCTCAAGTCAAAACAATTCGACACACAAAGGCGGTTCTAAAATTTTAACACATCATTTCAATCACGAACCTAGGCCTCGGTTTTGAGCCTATTTCATCGAAAATTTTCTTCAAGAACTCATCCTCATGTTGTTTTTCTTTAATCTCATCGATGATTGTAGGTTGAGCAAAAATGGCGGCTAAGATCTTTCCTTGTTCACGCAGTACAATTTCAGTCTTGTTCCTTTCTAGATCACATATTAACTCCTTCTAATCGGTGAGTAAACATGACAAATTACCCATGGATTTCTGGCTCAAGGCATTTGCAACGGTTTTGGCCTTTCCTAGATGGTACAAGATTTGCAAGTCGTAATCCTTGGTCAATTCAAGCCATCGTCTTTGTTTCGTGTTCAGTTCTTTTTGGGTGAAGAAATATTTAAGACTTTTATGATCAGTGTACACTTCACAAGTCACACCGTATAGGTAATGTCACTAAATTTTCAAAGAAAACACCACAGCTGCTAATTCAAGGTCATGGGTTGGATAGTTCTATTCATGAGGGCGAAGTTGTCGAGAAGCATAAATGATCACTTTCCCATTTTTGTATCAACACACACCCCAAGCCTTTGTAAGAAGCATCGCTGTAAATCTGAAACCCATCAGTACCATTAGACAGAGTCAAAATTGGTGATGTTATCAATCTAGTCTTCAATTCTTGAAAGGCAGACTCCCGTTGATCGTTCCAGTCAAATGGTACATTTTTCTGTGTCAACTGTGTCAATGTCATGGCAAGTTTGGAGAAATCTCTCACAAATCAGCGATAATAGCCTGCAAGCCCCAGAAAAGCTTCGAACTTTTGACACATTGGTTGGTCTTGGCTAGTCCATAATAGCTTTGATTTTTTATGGGTCAATCGAAATACCATCTCTGTTGATTACATGCCTCAGAAACGCTACACTATCAAGCCAAAATTCACATTTGGAGAATTTTGCATATAGCTTCTTTTCTCTCAGAATCTGTAACACGATTCTCAAATGATTCTCATGATTTTCCCTGCTTTTGGAGTAAATCAAAATGTCATCAATAAATACAACAACAAATTCATTCAGATATGATTTAAACACCCTATTCATAAGGTCCATGAAGGTAGTAGGCGCATTAGTCACCCCAAATGGCATTACCAAAAATTCATAGTGTCCGTATCTAGTTCTGAATGCAGTCTTCTCTATATCTTCTGCCTTAACTTTTAGTTGGTGATACCCGAATCTAAGATTTATCTTGGAGAACACTTGTGCTCCCTGAAGTTGGTCAAATAAATCATCTATTCAGGGCAATGGATATTTATTCTTCACAGTTACCTTATTCAACTCATGATAGTCAATACACAGCCTCAAAGACCCGTCTTTCTTTTTGACAAACAGCACCCTAAGTTGATGTGCTCGGACGGATAAATTTCTTGTCTAAGAGTTCTTGGAGCTGAATTTTCAACTCTTTCAATTCAGAAGTCGACATTCTATATGGGGTTTTGGAAATCGGTTGTGTTGCAGGTGCAATATTGATAGTAAACTCAGTTTTCCTATCAATTAAATCTCTGGGCAATTCAGTTGGAAATACATCAGGAAATTCATTTACTACAGGAATGTTCTCTACAGTGGGATTGTCAAAAACCACAGTCAAAACACAACATATATGCCCTCTACATCCCTTTCTAATTAATTTCACGACTTTTATTGCAGAAATCAAGTATGGGGGAGGGACCACTCCATTCCCGATGCGTACAAACTCAGGTAACCCAAGTGGACGAAATATAATAGACTTATTCACACAGTCAATAGTTACACAATACTTCATTAACCAGTCTATACCCAATATGCAATCAAAATGATCAATTCCTAAAGGCAATAAATCAACATACAACATCACATCACCAATCACGACTTCACATGCTGGATACACATATGCACATACCATAGAACACCCAGATGACGTAGATACAGATAACAAATAATTCATAGATTCTACTAGTCTAGTTAATTTTCGAGAAAAGGCATGTGACACAAATGAATGGATAGAACCAGAATTTATCAGCACATATGCATTTTGGGCACAGATGGAAATTATACCTGACACCACAGCTTCAGTGTTCTGTACATCACCAGGCACTAAGGCAAATACTCGACCTTGTCTTAGAGTTTATTTCCCAGTATTAGTTCTTGCATTTGTTTTAGTTGTAGAAGCGGATCCAGCTGAACTCGCTATACGGCGGTTAGCATTATTAGACCCAAGCGAGCAATCTTTCACTACATGACCTATCTTGCCACATCGGAAACAAGCACCCGATGCCCGGTAACACATGCCCCTATGCTTCCTTCCACAATCAGGGCAAACTAGAATAAATTCACTGCTCTGACTTGAGCTACTTGTAGACCCCGTGTTATATTTCTTACTCACATAAGAACGCTCCCTTCTGAAACCGTACCCAGACCTTTTTCCTCTCCATTCTATTGTTGTTGTTGGGACGTTACTTTGTTTCATAGCGGCTAGGGTAGCTTCAGCCATTAAGGATCTGCCAAGGACTTCTACGTATATTGGCAACTTCAATATGCCTACTCGATCGAATATGTCTAAATCCAATTCTCCTTCGAATTTGCAGGCTTTCTTTTAGTTGGTATCCACCATATAAGGAGCAAATCTGGCTAACTCAATGAACTTAGCCTCGTACTCAGCTACGGACATCCTGCATTGCTTGAGTTTTTGGAATTCAGACACTTTCCGATCTCGAAAACACTGAGGGAAGTACTTATCATAAAAGATTTCATTGAATCGAGCCCATGTCATGTTTCCATTGGTATTCCGGATTAGTAACCACCATCTCCGAGCTTCATCTTTGAGAGTATAGGTGGCCAATAAAACCTTTTGAGTCTCGGTACAGGGAAAAACTTCAAACAACTTCTCTATTTCAAGTAACCATGTCTCTACTTTCAACAGTTTAATACCACCCATGAAAGCTGATGGTTTCATCTTCAAGAACGTCTGAGTTAGGTTGATGATGTCGTTATTATCAGGTTCAACTTGTACCGGCAGAGGCAGAGGGGGAAAAGGTTGTTGTCTCTGCTGTTGTGTCATTGCTTCGGTCAATGTTGCAAGCCTCTGTTCCATTATGTTCATTTGGGTCTCAGAAGACTCACTTGTATCATTTTTCCTTGCATTCTCCATGTTGCAATAGGTAAACAAGGCAATAATAGTCATAGGCCAATAAGTCTTTTCACTATGTTTAGATCATTCAATTACGGTCCATTCATTTATATTTCATGTATTCATGGTCAAATAGATTCAGTTTCCACATTAACAGGCATTAATATACACACTCACACATATAGATAAGATGCCCCTAATGCTTACTAGGACACCCTATAGCTCATATGGACTTTGGTGTGCGCGGTATAATCATGTGGTCTAATACCACTTTGTCACGACCCAAACCTGCGCCCTATAGGTTTAGCGTCGTAACCAGCCAATAATCATTGGATTACCAAAGGCCTCTTAACAGAATGACATATAATTAGGGGCTGCGGAAACAATATATAAACATACTTAGTCCATTGAGTTGTGCTGACATACATGAGACAAAATTTTTAAACGAACTTATATATGTATATATATACATGTAGCATCATAAACGCATTGGTCTCACGTCACGCATTTACACAGATAAGGTCGAAAGAAAGCTTAGCCCAAGTACAAACAAACATGACAAAAAAAAAATAAAATAAAGCCTTGATATGGTCTTCTCAAAGGAACCTCCTCGAGAGGCACAGTGGTTGGCTTACAAAACAGGATCTTAGGCTATCAACTTTGGGCCTGGTCACGTGCCTGATCACCTACATACATAACATAAGTAGTGAACGGGAGCCTAGTGAATAATAACAGAGTAAAGAATTTGATGAATGGTATCATTTTCAGGTTCAGAAAATTAGAATTTCATATTCATATTTATTTCAGAAATAGAAGCTGATCCATATTCATAATCTTGTCCAAATCAAATACAAAAATTAGAGTTCATGCTTATCATACGTAGTACATCCATTACTGCTAACAGAATAGATGTAGAACAGATGGTGGTTTTGAGTAACCAGTTCCATAAAGGAACCTTCGGATCCAAGTAACAGATGACAGATATGCTGAGCTCTATGATGGAGCCTCCGGTATGGGTAATAGATAACAGATAATAGATATAATAAGTTCTATAATGGAACCTCAGATACCAAGTAATAGCTAACAGATATCACATGATACAAAGAAGCCACGAATATATTTTCAAAAATTGGACAATCATTCATTGTATAGAACATAGCATTTCAGAAAATAGATCTTATTTTATCATACAGAAAGTAAATAAAGTTGAACATAGCTTTACTAAGTTATTACTCACAGATGGCTCCGGGTGCAGACAAACAGGGCAAGCAAATGCAAATGGTTTACGTCGCATGATCTACATCAATACATAACTGATACATATACTGAAACACATGCTTGGATTGTACATAACTTGCTTCATTTTGTTCTTAGTGTGCTTCTAGCCTTTACTCTTATTATTGTGTCTTAATCTTGATTTAGGAATTCCTAGGATACAATGAGGATGTAAAAATGCATTTGAAAACACTTAGTCAGAAAATACTGGAAATAGAGGTCCCGCTCAAGCGGAACTTCCTTCGCTTGAGCGGACATGCAAAATGCGAGTGGTCGCTCGAGCACACATTCCTTCACTCGAGCGGTTTGTAAACTTTGCAAAAGTGCTGGTTGCTTGATTTTTCCGCTCGACGCTCGTTTGAGCGTGAGACTCATGCCCTCACTCGAGCGCAACTTTTGTCACTCAAGTGATCTACAAAGCACGCAAACTTCTGGGAACATGCATTTTACGCTCGAGCAGTGCTCGAGCGGAAGTGCAAAAATAAAGGTGGTCGCTCGAGTGCAAGATTTGTCTCTCGAGCATAGAAGCAGAATTCTGGAATTTCCAGAATTGCTTTCAAGCTTCAAACTCAACCCCAAAGCTGTAAATTATGGTTTCTTGCGCCAAAAACTTAAGGAAACTCCTATAACCTTGCAAAACATCATGAAGTAAGAATCATTACTCAAAATCAAGGCCCAATAACATTCAATTGTACAAAATCAAGCTTGAAATGTGAAAACATAACATGAACATGACATGCATGAAATGATTTGAGCTCCAAGTTTCCGAATCATGATCAAATGAGATGTTTAGATCTAAAACATGTTAAATTCCTTGAACAAAACCAAGATACTAACATGCATGTGAGAATTCTGTTGAAAATAACTTCAATTATGATCAAATGAACATGCATGCATGATTTGCTCTTCTCTTCTAGTTCATTAGCTTAATTCATGCATTGATGCACTTAATTCTCTTAGTTCCTTATTTAAGTGAGTCTAACATAAATCTTAAGGGTTGCTTCCTTACCTAGGGTCCACAATTCCTTAAATTCTAGTGATCTCTTGCTTAATCTCACCAATTCCCTTCAATTTCTCTAGTAGTTGCTAGCTTGACTTCAATTCTCTTCAAAGTTGGCTCTAATCTCCCCCTTCTCTCTCTCATGGTTGGTATCAACAAAATGATGAAGAAAGGTGAGTTGAGATGCATGTAGAAGCCTTATATAGGCTTGGTTTGTGGACTAATTAATTAGGTTTACCACTAATCAAATTAGCATTAATTATTCTAATTATTTCATTCTGAATCGAATTTCAATTGAATCTACCATAAAATTTTAAAAATTCTAATTAATACATAAATCAAATCAATTTCTGAATCAGATACCGATAAAGCTTTCAGTTCGCAAATCGAAACAAAAACATGAACAGATCTTTCTACGCTAAACAGATATAAACAAAAATAAGGCAACATATGATGTAAAACTTCACTTTAATTTCTTATTAGGCATAATTAAGTATGGATTAACATTAATCATGGGTCGGAGTTGTTACAGTATCTTACAAAGCCAAAGCGAGATCTTGTCATCTTTCGTCTCTTATTTGGAAAGAAAACATCCATAACTACCCAATAGTTGGAGAAAATGGTGTATAACCCTCTGGTCCCAATGGATTCTGGTAGGTTATCCACAAAAATAGAGTATATAGTTGTGTCTGCCTTACTGCTCCACACTCATCGTCTGCCATGTCGACGTACCACTAGTTGCCATCCTCCTCTTCCAGACCCATTTCCATGTTGTTCACCATCGCGTCCCATATTGTTCCTAAGTTGTATAATAATATGATGAAATTAATACAACTTAGATATATTATTGCAAGAGTTGAGTCGAGTACATATATAATATATGTATTGATGTATATGGGTGCGTGGATCCTAGTGCCTTGTTTGGTTGGGGGACAACCATAATAGCACATGACTTAAAGATCATATCACAACAAAATTAACAAAATTAAAAATATAAAGATTAAATTTTTCAAATTAAAACTGTAGAATGCTTAAATTATATGGCCTAATGATCTATTTTACCCTAAATCTTAAAATATTTTTTTTTTCTAGGTTAATACTATTGTTGCTTATATATTGACAATCAACTTCTTCATCATCATCATCATCCTCCTCGTTGTGGTCTCGGTCTTCCTCCATTGACACAAAGATGATTGGGACGTGTTTAGTTTGAGAATTGATAAGGAAAATGAAAATGGAAAAGGAAATAAAAAGAAAAGGAAAAAGAATTGATTCTAAATTATGTTTGGTTATGTAAAAAAAATAGAGAAAGAAAATAACTTAAGTGAACCTAAAAAATAAAAAGTGAAATTGTATTTTACTCTTACTTTCTTTTCTTTTCCGTGTTTCATAATAACTAAATAAAAAATAAAATTATATTTCTTTTGTTTTATATATATTTCTTTTATCAAATCTTCTAACTAAATACGAAAGAAAGAGAAAAGGTGAAAGACGCAAGGGCATTACAGTATAGGTATGCTTGAGATAGCTAAGATCTATTAGGAGACGTTTACTCCATCATCAAATAACCTCAAGCAATAATTGGCACAAGACTTTTTCAATTCAATCGATCCCGACAACGATGGAAAAGTAAAATATGAGTAAATTATTGAACTACATGATGAAGGAGGAAAATCTATTTTTAAAACCATCTTCTGATTTTGAAAACTACTGAATACTAGCTTGTTTTTTTACAAAAACATCTTATTTTCATAACTTGGCTGGAAATCTTATGGTATGTATTTTTTAGGGGTGCATATCATATGTATCCTATCATAAAAATATATAATTTTATTGTAAAATTTCATAATATCAATCACCAAAAGCGTAATCTCGTCATAAATTGATATATCAAAATATTTAAAATTTTATAATTGATATTAAAAAAAATTATGACTTATTTATAATATTTTTTATTATGCCAATTTATAATGAAATAATACATTTTGTGAAATTTTACAAATTAAGTGTAGACAATAGCATTTCCCTTTAATAATTAGCAACCAATGGTTAGATTTATTTCACTATCAAATCCAAAAGCCAATAATCATTTATTTATAGTACATCAAAATAAGGAAAATTTTAATATACATATTCTTGAAAAAATTATATTATATGCATCTTTAGTTATGTCATTTTTTTAGTTATAATCAATTTTATTTTTTAGTCATGACATTATTTTAATTATGACTCATGATATATTTAGTTATATTTCACGTTGTATTTGGTTATGACCTTTTTTTAATTTTTTTTAATTTAGTTATGGCTTAAAAAATATAAAATTATATCAATTTCTTCTTTAATTATAAAATACATATTTGATGGGTGTGTACCATAATATTTCCCTCAAAATAATTACTTTTGTATCATTGATAACTTTGACAGCTGCATATCACTACACCACATAACCAATGGGAGTTGGTCCAAATAGAAAGGGACTTTGATTGCTTAATCAAAGGTCTCGAGTTCGAGCCTTTGTGGATGCAGCAAATTCCTTTGGGAGAAGACCCCGCATATCCGCCCGATAACTTCCTCGGCGAATTAGTCCTGGATTCAAAAAACTTGGGGATACAGTGAAAGACCTAAAAAATAAAAAATCACTACACCACATAGAAATCTTATAGTGTGCACCCTTTAGGATTGCATTCCATATATACACGTAAAATATGTAATTTTATTATAAAATTTATAATATTAATCATAAATGTGTAATCTAATCATAAATTGACGTAATCAAATTTTCAAAATTTTATAGTTGATGTCATAAAAATTTATAATTTAGTTACGATATTTTTTTGTAATCCTAATTTATGACATGATAACGTATTTATTAATTAATGTTACAAAATTTTGTAACAAAATTATACATTTTATGATAAGATGTATGGTGTGCATCCTAGAGCATTTCCTTACAAATAAACATGGAATTGCCAACTTGCTTTGTCGTGGTCTTGGTCTTCGTCAATAAACAAATTATATAAATAAACAAATTATATAAACACGAATCTGATTGGTATTTAAATATTATAAACACGAATTTGATTGATATTTAAATATTGAGATTAGTTTGAAACATTTTTATATATTATGAATTAAATTGATACAATTTAAATATAGATGACAAAAATAACACTAAAATTATACTTTTAGAGATGAAAAATATAATTAACCTAAAACTGTATATATAAATGTTACTGAACAAGCTAGGGTCGCTCGTTTGGGAATTAAATTTTTATTTTTTTGACTTTTTAATTTTGTGTCAAAAGACGTGTACATGTTTGGCTCCCAAACATAACCCATAAGTGTATTTATGAATTATAGAGGCAAGTTAAATTAATTAGGCCTAATCTAATTGGCGATCATGACTTTCTTAAGGGCTTAACCTAAAAGAGAGGTCATGAGTTCAACTCCCCTTAAGAGGAGTTGAATTAGAAAACAAGCACTTTTTTTTTTATCAGCAAAAAGGAACCTTTATAGATGCAAAAACCAAACAAGAAGAGAGATTACATCAACAAAGGAGGGAGAGGAGTTGGTGCTTTGCAAGAGTGGAGAGGCGAATTCTCACATGTGCTAATCTAATAATTAACAATTGACTTTCGTCGATTAAAAAAAAAAAAACTATAGATAAGAGATTAATATCCTTTGTAATAGTTAATTTATTTCTCTTCTATTCTAGGAGTTGTATGCGATTATTAGTGGTTGTTGATCTTTGCTTGGTGGGCTTAGTTAATTGATTGTGAGACTTTATTAATTTTTTTAATTATTATGGACTAGTGATAGTGTATTTGATAATATAAATGTTTTTTATAATATAGCTACTTTCTTATCTATTGAAAAGATAAATAAATCAATAACTGCAATCAAACTAGTATGGCCAACATTTCACCGCTTTGAATCTACACAATTTGTCTCGTTTTTGAAATAAAATTCGGAGCACAACATAATATTTTCCAAGTCAATCACCTTAGTTTTCTCGTACATTGTATATAAAAAACGTGATGAAAGTTTATTCCGAATGTATGGTGGAATTTAAAATTAGTAGTACGTGGGTCATCCTTAATGTAAATTATTGATTACTTTTTTTTGAATAATTTTATAGATAAATTATGTTATTGGTCCTCTAGTTTGAGTAAGATTTTACTTTGGACCTTTTGTCATGTGTTGTTAACACATAAGTTGAATAAAAAAAAAAAATTATGTGTAAAATTAGAGCAATCAAAATAAAATTCAAAAGAAAGTGTAGGAATTAAATTTTTTTTCTAAATGTTAACAACAAATGAAGGAGATATCATATTTTAACATTTAAAGTGTAAGAACTAATTTTTTTAAGATTTTACGAATATACCTTCTAAGATTTTTTTAAAATACAAATTATCACAAGTGATTCTGAAAATTATAAATAATCCATTCTCAAAAAAATTTATTTAACAAAATTAACAGAAAAAATAAAATTTCTAACTTTTTCCTAATTGAAGTATATTTCAGAAATCATCAAAAAAATATTAATTGACTTGATAATTTATTAATAAAAATAGTCATTTGTAGTACCGTTAAAAATTTGAAGGGGTAGAATGTAATTTTTAAAATCACAAGAAACAATTAATATTTTGACCAAACTTAAAGGAACGCATCTATAATTTACTGAGAAAAATTAAAGGGAGACTTACAATTCAGTGGGCTTTGAAAAAATATTTACATGCATGAAAAAATTTGAAAATTTAATTATTAATATTTATAAAGTTTATCATTTATGAGTAATTTATTTTCTACATCTACACTGAATATTATTTTTTTTCAAAATTAAATTACATGGACTAAATTTAAAGAATTAGGGATATTACATAATATTTTTCATCAACCTTTTCTTCGATTTTCCATCAATAAAGATTTTTTTTTTCTTTTTGTCAATAAAAAAAAATTCTTTAAATATTATTTCTAGATTGGTAGTATTAATATATTGACAAACCAACTTCATCTTCATCTTCATCTTCATCTTCATCTTGTTCTTAGTCTTGATCTTGGTCTTTTTGAAGGTTGAGAAAAGGTTAAAGATGGAGGGGCATCACTGCATAGGTATGCTTGAGATAGCTGAGATCTATTTCAACACATCATCAGAGAACTTGAAGCAACTGCCAAGAGACTTTTTCAATTCAATGGATGAAGACCACGATGAAAAAGTAAGTCTGAGTGAATTCTTCAACAACATGAAGGAGGGAGGACTCGTAAAAGCGGAAAATCCACCAGAAATGTTCAAACTGCTCGACGTGAACCGTGATGGAAGTTTGGATTTCAAGGAGGTGGTGGCTCTGTACTACGTTATTAAGAGTGGAAGACCGTTCTGTGGAGGATGTGGTAAGTTCATACCAGGGATGTTCTTCAGTTGTTTGATATGTTTCGACAATGAAGACGACAAGTTCTGCGTTTGCCCCAAGTGTTTTACCAATGAAAATAAAAGTTACAACCACAAACATATGCCTGACCATTTCTTGGATAACTTTGCTCTGCTTGAAGCTAAGAGAAAGATGGCTATCGATACCAGAAAGCCACCTGCTCCCCTGGAAGAGCCTAAGGTAACACCTCTCTCTCTCTCTCTCTCGCTCGTAATTATCCTATCTTCTGCAAAACACTGCCATGCAATAGCATGGCCTCAATAATTACATGGGCATAAAATCAAATCAAGGGAGTGGTATAGAAATAACAATATATTATTAAATGAAAACATTGTCACGTGATGTTCCTGAACCATATAATATATATATATATATATATATATTAACATTGATTATCTCTCTAGTTTGGAGAAATTATTCAATGCTCTTGAAGCAATAGTGTCATTTATAGATTGACACTTACATTTAAAACATTGGTTATTTCTTTAGTTTGGAGAAATTATTCAATGCTCTTGAAGCAATAGTGTCATTTATAGATTGACACTTAACATTTAATCTCTTACAATTTTCTTACAATTTTAACACAAAAGTGATGGATTTTATAATTTAAACCAATAACTGCTCATTTGGAACAACACCTAAATTTGTATCAGGAGCATTGAATAATTTCTTGCTAGTATGATTATAGTTACAATTATGTTCTCGTAGTTTCAATTTGAACTTCATATTTTCAATTTTGTTATAATGTTATCCCTCTATTATTTACAATTGTTAAAATTTTAAACCCAAATATATATATATATATATATAGAGAGAGAGAGAGAGAGGGGGGGAGAGAAATCAAAGTAAAACTCAAACGAAATTATATTAGTAATCACTATTATTATTATTTTCCTTTAAATTCACTCAAAAGAAATTATGCCCGGACACCAAAAATATTAACAACACATGACAAAAGAACAAAATTGCAACAAAATGAAGAGTTTTGGGTTCAAATTGAAACTACGAAGATTAAAGTTATACATCGCTTAAACTGCAATAGGGGTGAAATCGGTGCAGTGCGGTCTTGTTTTGAGGCATTTTTTGCACCGAACCGCACCCTTCGGTTTTTCATTGATCTGCACCGAACAGATCGAACTACTGGTAAGAACCGCACCAAGCGGTCTTACGTTGGGCCGGTGCGATTCAGTCGGTACACATCGGTTCTTCGATTTCAACAAAATCTTTGCTTGAAGATGGAAGACCATTGGTGAACACATGGAGAAGATGAAGATGAAGATGAAGAGGGAAGATGGGAGAAGATGAAAGGGTTTTGAGAGAGAGAGAGAGTCCAACCTTCGCATGAAGAAGATAAAGATGGAAGATGAAAGACCCGTAGAATATTTCGTAGGGAAAATGAGTGAGAGCACTAATTAGTGCTATCACTAATGATGTGGTAGTGGGTCCCACCAGGAATGATTTGATGTTTTGGCCTTAGTGTTGTATTTTTTTTCTTTTTTTATTGAGTGGCATGCCATTAGTGATCTTTTAGAGCTCCAAAATTAGTGGTCTCTATCACTGTAAGAAGATGAAGAATATCAACTTTTCATTGGTGAACACACACAAAAAGATAGAGAGAGAGAGAGAAGAAAGAGAGGAGAGAGATAGAGCATTTGTTTTTTTAGAGAGGCGCAATCACTGCGTTTGGTTTTAGTTTTTTGGATTAAATTTTTTGAAATTTGAATTTTTTGATTTTCGTATTTTTTGGTTTTTAGTAAATATTTTTAAAATTTTAAACATTTTTTTTTTAGTTTTTTAGATGCACCTTACTTAGATGTGTTTAAAAAGTAAAAAAATTGTGAAAAAATATTTTAAAAAATTAAGAAATATATAAAAATATAAAAAATGTACTAAATTCTTGTATTTTTTTTTAATTTTTGGTATTTAGTAAATTTTTAAAAGATTTTTTTATAATTTTTTTACTTTTTAGATGTATTTATGTTAGGTGTGTCTAAAAAGTAAAAAAATTGTATAAAATATAAAAAAAATCAATAAAAATAAAAAAATACAAAAAATAAGAATAAAATTTTCTAAAAAATATTTTTAAAAAATAAAAACCAAACAAAGTGAATCACTCTCTCACAAACATTCATGAGATTCATTCTTCAGCAATAATTAGATAGGGAGAGAAAGTGTTTTATTTTTTCTTGAGTAGTGTAAAGTATTGGGCAGTGTGAAGTGAAATAGGGCTGAGCAAGAAATTCGTAAAATTCGTAATCCGATCCAGTCCAATCCAATCCGATAGGTTTAGATTGGTTTTTTGAATCCGTGGTTCGGTTCCGGATTGAAGAATTAAAAATCCGTAGTCCACGGATTGGTTCCGGGTTGAACCCCACGGTTCCGGATTAGAACCGATCCGGACCGTATACAAATAGTCTATATTTTTATTATACATCCTCCCCCATAGTATCTTCTCTTATTCTATATAAAATCTAAACTCAAACCTAAACCTCGTATAATATCTTCTTTTATTACTTTAGCTTTTTAGTTTTTAGTTTTAATTTGTAATGGTCTAAATAGTTATGGTGAAACTAGTTTTTTTATGATTGTTTAAATTCTAGAACATTATGTTACTATTATAGAAAAACATGTTGCTATTGTAGAACTAATATAGCGCTATGTTTATATTTTTATAAAATTAAAGTCTTATATATATATATATTTGTTATTTAATTATGTAAATCTGTGGTCCTAAACCGATCCAATCCGTGTTGAAATGGATTGGTTCGGATTGGTTCCAAGATTTAAACGGATTGGATTAGTTCCGATTTTTCAGGAACCGTAGATAACGGATTGGTTCTGGTTTTGTCCCAATCCGGTCCAATCCGGACCATGCTCACCCCTACTCGGTAGGGCTTGTCAAGGCCAATTTTGATAATTTAAATTGTTTATATTGTAAAATTTATTATTTATTAAAAAATTTAGATTAAGTTAAATAATAGCAATAAAAAAGAGAGAGTATACATTTCGGTGTGGTTTGGTTTATACGATTTTTAATTTATGATTACTGAAAACCCAACTGAATTTTGGTTTTTTATTTCAACATAACTGAACAGACCGAAATAATAATAAAAGAAGACCAAAACCGGCCGATTTAGTCGTTCCAATCGGTTTATCGATTTTTTCTCACTCTTAAACTGCAAGGAAGTGTAATTTATCCATTTTCTTTTTTAATTTACATTTTAGGTAAATTACACTGACCTCCCATGAGGTTTGGCAAAAATACAATAAGTTTCATAATTTTGACATAATTATATTAACGATTTTAATGCACGTAATATTTAATCCTATTTTCATGACTAAATTGGTTAATTATATAGACATAAAATTAATAATATCATATCTTTTATACTAAAATATATATATATATATATATATTATTATCCTTATATTTTCTTAGCCTTACTAAAAAAGAAATTAATATAATTATGTAAGAATTTTAAGACTATTTGTTTTTTTTTCTAAACTTCTTGGAAAGATGGATGGATGGGTATTATTATGATCAATTTAAAAATCAAGGGTTTAATTAAAAAAATTAAAAACTTATATTCTAGCTTTATTGGAAGAAGTTAATAATTAGGGTAAATTACTCACACGTCTTATTACAAAAATACCTGCACTAAGTCTCACAATATTATTATTTTATCAATTTCCACGTTTGATTCTTTAAAAAAATAATAAAAAATATATATTATAGATTGTATCATTATTACTATCGTTAAAAAATAGTCATTTTATTCAATGATATTTTACTCTAATAAACAGAACACATAATTAAGGTTTAGGTTATAGAAGTCAAACTTTCAAGTTATTTACCTAATTTCCTTCTTTTTTTTTTTTTTTAATGTTTTCAGAAAAAGTCGACTTTGCTGCTCAGATTACTCGAGTCAGAGATTGCGGCCGTGGCTGGTGCTGAGGTTGTGGCTGTTTCTGGCGCTGCGGCTGCGGCTGACCTTGCGGCTGCGGCTGCTGACAGCTGTAGTATTATGTGAGAGAATGCAAACCAATTTGCTTTTAATTTCCACAAGTTTATAAATAGAATAATGATATATGTACTAATTAATGTATCAATTAATGATGTGACATAATTTAAGAAATTTTTGATATTTGTAATGTGATTAATGAGTGAGAGTAATAATAATATTATAATTAGTATTGATATATTAATTAATAAACTAATTAGTACATGTAACGCCACCGTTATAAATATGATTGTAATAAGCCTATATTATTATTAAAACTTTATGGTTTGTGTGCATGCACGTTAAATTGTGCAACACCTTTGGGCCTGTTTGATTCTAGGATACAAAGGGTGAGATTGAATATTATATCCTATAGGGTCCATATATCTCATGTTTGTAATTTTTTTTTAAAGAGAATATAATATACTATGAGATTGTATGTACGGGGGCGAAATATCCTCTGCTTTCCGTACTCCTTGTACTCCAATCTTCTCTTGACGGCGTTTACCTGGTAACACAGAAACGGTGAGCTGCCCGGCGGTGGTGTGCCGGATAGACCCTCCGACGATCAAGTCAACCCACTTGAGGAAGGAGAAGACAGCTAGAGAGAGTGTATTTTCTTTTGGGGGAGAAGTTGCATACCTCTAACGTTCATCCTCCTCTCTATTTCAAGGCTGGCCATGCAGCCTCAAGATTATGCATGCACTACCTCTGCTATCCTTCCCAGGACAGGTGGTAGTACTCGCCCCTCACCACCTTACGCGTGTAAAGGCTTAGTCCTCCCTCCAGTACACGCAGAACTGTCTAACGGTATTGGTGCATGGGTGGAGCAGATGTCCTCTTCCTCACGCCATTGGCCCAGGTGGCACACTTAACCGGGGTACCCCGACCAGCTGGTTCCCTGTGGAGAATTGCTCCTCGAACACATAACCGAGCTAATGAACGCCGACCTGCCCCTTGGCAAAGGGACCAAAATGCTATGCTCATGGCCGGGCTGTTTACGATCGGTCCCAACCGACTGAATGGCCATGAAGCACGCTGGATTTCCACCGTTCTTCACTAAGCCCGTCCATCTCGGCCGATCGGTTAAGCGCATGCCGACGCTAATCGCATCTCAAGTCCGGTCCGGGCCGCTCTCGGCTTTGTCGTCAGACACTGCTGAGCGCTCGGCATTGTTACAGCTCGGCCAAGCATTGGTTCGTGTCTGGCCGGTCGACCTCTTCAGCCGTACAGGTCAGGCCGCTGGCCGAGCAAGATAGGAGTCTGCTCGGCGGCGCGCGGTTCGTCATGATCGCCGTTATCGTAGCTCGGCCGTACTAACGCGCAAATCTCCCCCCTCAATTGCCCCTTAACCCCATCCGACCTAGCCGTGACTGGGGTTACCATCGTGACCGAGCTAACGGACGAGTTGCGCCATCACCTAGCCAAGCATGATTGGGGGCATAACCATCGCCGAGCTGTCCCGTTTGGTCGGCCATTTCCTCCGCAGTCTCATCGAAGGTCGTACAGCCGTACTGACAGCCGCGTTTCCAGTGCCACGTGGCTTCACGCCACTGGGTCGTACAGCCAGCTGTTCTGCACGTGCAAAATTCAAACGGTGCAGTCGTTTGGGGTTCCCTTCCCCCTCTTTTGTATTCCAACGAAGGGCCTAAAACCCTTCACTTTTTACCTTCTCTTCCATACAAACCCCTAACCCTAGCTTCCATATTCTCTGAGAACTTCCCCTCCCTGCCGCTGCGTCTCACCTGCCTCCGTTTCTATTCTTTGTTTCTCGTGAAGTCACAACCAAGTTCGAGAGGCCCTGCCCTTGCAACTGGTATTTGGTAAGTCCTCCTACCCTTTCTCCAAACTCTCGCACTTGAGTTCCTCAACCTTTTCACTTTTTCATGCTTTGTATTCTCCATGTTTACACTCGGGGCCATTAGAGTTGCTTTCCATTGCTTAGATCTTGCACACCCTAGGGAAAACAAGAACAGTAGGAATGGATGGGGCTTTCGTGCCCCTTGTTTCTCCTGGGATTGAACGAGTTCGTCCTATTTCTGGGATGAACAGTTTGAATCTGGGTAGAACCGAGCAAAACGCTCGTTTAGATCCATAAATGACACATCGGCCGAGCAAAAACTGGTTTGTGACTTATCGTAGAGGTTGTAACTGAGCCAAACTACCAGTTAAAACCGGTAATAGTACTGAACCGGGCGAAAACTTGAGGTCGTTACTTGGGCCTTGACCGAGTTAGTTCGTCAAGTAGAACCGATCGAGCTATAACTTTGACCGAGCCAGCTTCGGAGTTAGAACCGAACTAGGAAATCGACCAAGTAGCATAACTGAGGTAGGGGTCGAACCGGCCAAACACCAATAATCCCTTCATTGAGCCAATTCCCATAGGGGCCGCGCAATTTATGCCGTGCTAACCCTTGGAATTATTTTTTAATCATGCAGAACATATAGGACCAACCAATCCAGTCCAGCACTAATTAGTGGAGCTCAAAGTCCGAGCAGACCCACCAACATTTTTGACCGAGATATACACTATATCAAATAAGACCGAGATAGATGGGGAAGCACCGCTATATGGTTAGCTCACCTGGTGCGATGACCGAGTTTCGCAGGGATTACAACATCCCAGATGACGTCATCTTAGAGCTCGCCAAAAAGGGAGACACCCCTTAGGGAGATCTAGACTGGTGCCCCTTTACGGTCGTGTCAATAGTAGAGGGAGGGCTCTGCTTCCCGGTCTAGCCTTTGATCTGTGAGTTTTTGAGGCAGGCAAGGCTTTGCCCGACCCAAGTTTCAAAAAACACTTACAAAATAATAAACGGGGTCGCCGAACTGAACCGGAGGCTCGGTCTCAATCTCAGTCTGGCTGAAATTTTCCATCAGTATAGTCTTAGTAGAAATAAGAGCGGGTTTTGCTGGTACCTCAAAGTGAAGAAGGGCTGAGCAAAATTTATAGAGGGTAACCCGGACAAGGAGACCAACGACGACGACTTCTTGTGGGTGTCCAGTCGCTATGAGGACACTGAGGCATCCATACCGGGATGGTATATTAGAAAGGATTTTGGTAGTGCCGGTGAGTCGCTCGGCTGACCGCGCTATTTTCTTTATGCATCAATTACTTTCCATGCCGATCTAACACTTGTCTTCTTTTTGCAGATAAGCACCTAGCAGCAGACTACTACCGGGCCAACCAAGAGGCCATCAGAGTCCTGCTGCGCCATCCTGCCGAGGAGAGGGAGGCTTCGAAATTGCTCGGCTTCGATCAGACCTACCACTACACCGCGCCGCGCAGGAGCCGGGTTACCTATTTTCTGCATGTGCCAACCCAGGAACCGGATCCAAACTTACCACCGATCAGGCTTATTCCACTCACCGCCGAGCAAGAAATGGCAAAAATCAGGGCCATCAAGTCCCTGATCACCGGGGGAAGAGGACGAGTCCCAAAAGCTAGAGGTAACCGGGGGGACATCCTCCACACCCGCCGTGTAGCAAGAAGGGGCAGTACTGGCGCTTGTTAGCGAGCAGCCAGCTGGTCGGTCCAAGAAGCGGCCGAGGAACGAGCAAACCGGGGCGCATCTGGCGGATGAAGACTCTACCGATCGCATCTCTACCGAGCTCGGGGACCAGACCGAGCAACCACGGACCAGCAAATCCAAGGGCCCAGCCACCCCCCCAGTCTGGGTGCCCGAGGTCAAGTACCAGGGCTGAGCAGTTTCTGCTGAAGACTCTGTGTACGCGGACAAGGACTACTCGCTTGGTTTCAATTTGACCAAGGGGTTGATCTTGCCCTCCGATATGAAAAATCATGACGAGCTTTCCGACCTCAAGGTCCTCCGCTCGGCGGCGAAATCCATAGTGATCAGGCTTATTCCACTCACCGCCGAGCAAGAAATGGCAAAAATCAGGGCCATCAAGTCCCTGATCACCGGGGGAAGAGGACGAGTCCCAAAAGCTAGAGGTAACCGGGGGGACATCCTCCACACCCGCCGTGTAGCAAGAAGGGGCAGTACTGGCGCTTGCTAGCGAGCAGCCGGCTGGTCGGTCCAAGAAGCGGCCGAGGAACGAGCAAACCGGGCCGCATCTGGCGGATGAAGACTCTACCGATCGCGTCTCTACCGAGCTCGGGGACCAGACCGAGCAACCACGGACTAGCAAATCCAAGGGCCCAGCCACCCCCCCAGTCTGGGTGCCCGAGGTCAAGTACCAGGGCCGAGCAGTTTCTGCTGAGGACTCTGTCTACGCGGATAAGGACTACTTGCTTGGTTTCAATTTGACCAAGGGATTGATCTTGCCCGCTGATATGAAAAAACATGACGAGCTTTCTGACCTCAAGGTCCTCCGCTCGGCGGCGAAATCCATAGTGTTGGTAAGTTCTCCGTTTTTTATGTCAAACTGTTTGCTCGGTTTTTGCGTAGTTTTTCGAATACTGACGATCTCTCACTTGTTTTCAGGCCTCGCAAAAGAACTATTTGGCCCACGACCGAATGATCAAAGTGCGGCAGAGCCTGCGGGATGCCATAGCTGAGAATAAGGCACAAAAGAACGAGATAGGGAAGCTTAAAGCTGCGCAGGAAGCAGTTGAGGCCGAGCGAGATATCCTGAGCCAAAAGGTTGACCGAACGAGGACAAACTTCGGGCCATGAAGTCGACGAAGGCTCGGTATCTCGCCGAGCTGAGGAAACTGCGCGATGCGCACAAAGCCGAGAAGGACAAGGCCGTAGATGATGCAGAAGACCGGGGATACGCGCAGGGTGAGAAGACCTACGAACGGCAGGTCCAAGTGACCAAGGACATCTTTTTCCAGTGCGGCTGGAAAGCTGCCGTGGAGAAAGTTGGTCTTGGTCAGGATTCTGACATGTTCATCAATCCGCCTGCCGCCTATATCCCGGTCTACATGCAGGCATACTCCAAGGCCACCCAAAACCGGCTCATCACGGATGCAAGGAAGCAGGCCGAGGAAGAAGCTGCCGCCGCGAAACTAGCCGAAGAAAATCCTCCCAAAGCATCTCCAGATGCGGAGGAAGAGGCTGATCGGGATGTTGCCGTGGTGGAAGGCACTGACGATGACGCCGAAGAAAACTTGCCCGAGCACAATATGGAAGAGGCCGAGCAAACTTTGCTAGTTGCAGAACAAACGGTTGACGTAG